AMMMMAAAACACTTCACACACCTCTCTTGTCCGCTGCTCGCCCAATAGYGATGCTACCGCCTCTAGACGATTTGCAGCTGCCACGCGTGCCGACATGTCGTCTCCCCGAAGCATATCGATCGCTTGACGCGCTTCCTCTTCCTCTGTTATTTGCATTGGCACAATATTCGCATGATTGTTGTTGCTTGCATTGCTGATTCGAGCGGGTTGTTTTATAATCTCTTTCGGGCCCCCGTCGATCGGATCAATGTCCATCGGTCGAAGACTCATATTTTTCCAGTTTTTATCCTTTCCCTTYAGACTAGGTAGGCAGTGCCTTTCTTGCGGCAGTCGATCAAAATCGGGATTTGGATTTCTAATGCGATGCGACCTGATACAACGRAAACCGAGGTGCGATTGTTTGCTTGTTTCTTTGTATCTTGCTTGGGCCCCAACGATGGGTATAGCGAAGCAGTTACAAAGAGGACAGGGRAAACGGCTGCGTGGTATTKGTTGTGCTTTCAGCTTTCACAATACTCGTAATCGATGGCCTACCGTATCATTCATAATAGTCCTCGCAACTCACCGTACAAACACAGTGGCACTGTAACCGTAGATCAGGCCTAATTATTTTTTTGAAACCAAAGCGCTGCTACTCGTACTTGTACGTTGTRAGTGTATGGTGTACCGGTATGATGTCACGAAGGGATGGATTTGACATTTTTAACGTTAATTGAGGCATTGGGAACGTTAATTTAACATTCCGAATGTTTCATTTATGGTGTAGGCCTAGGCCTACGTACTAGATCCTAGTATTCCAATAATCAGCATTCTCAAAACCAATTATTTGGGTCTTGCACATACCTTAAAAACAAGGAAGAAGGATGTCCTAGTATCCTGCTAGTAATATTCAGACTGTTAAGCAAAGCATTCAGGACAATTTTGAAGCAAAAAACACAGTACTCATTTCTACACAGCCTACACTGGTGCTAACATTCGGAATGTTAAATTAACGTTCCCAATGCCTCAATTAATGTAATTTCAATTGTTATTTTACACATTGTATGAATTATTGATGCGTACAAAAGTTTTGTATATGGTACAATGCCATATGAAATATGAAAGGAACACGAGTGAAGTTTCTTCATTTCAGAAATGAGCTGTTCAAAATTGTAGGTCCTTTTACTATCATGAGGAGGATTGGGGATGATTTGGTTGTGAATAAATTTGTAACGAAGGGCTCCCTTGATCGTTTGTTGCTTGTTGCAACAATGCTTTTTGTCCAACTGCATTCTACACAGTTCTATGTATTTTATTTTCCAAACATGATGAGCTGACCTGCTCACCAGGAGCTGGCTTTCATGTCCTCCCCTTTGGGGATATGCTCGGTCATAGTGTTGGGGAGGTGTCAATGTACATGTGTCCTAATGAATTGCTCCAGGCCAGCTGTGATTCTCAGCTTACAGCAGTACATGCTAAAAATAGCTACTGTTTTAGACCAGCCATGTGTAATAAAATAGGCCACCAGCAAATGTCCAAAAACGACTCCTCTAGACCACTGGACTAAGCGTCCAGTCCTTATTGATGTATCATTGGAAACAAATTGAATGCTATGCCAGCTTAGAACTAGCTCAACAGAGTAACAGTAGTACTAGCTGGTTGCCAAATTTCAATGTAAGAAACAGGGCCCAACAGAACCTGCATTATTCATACTACTGTAGGAGGAATGAAACTTAGTAGTGAGGGTGAGACAGGTCCTCCAGAGTCAGTACTAAAAATTACAGCTTCTGGAGGGAACAACAGCCTTCACTTGCCTTTGCAAATTTAATCTGTCTCAAAATTAAATTTCATACTTGTAATTTGTACATTGCTCCAAAATTGAATTTCCTCGTAGTAATAATAATTTGTATGTTGGAAGTTGGCAGAAGTCACTGATATGGAGGCATTTTTTAAAAAAACTCCTGACCAATTGATCTGCTGCTGAGACTTCTTGTTCCACCAGATCCCTCGTCCCTTGTTTGTATTATAATGAAGTTTCTATTCCAGTATATGTGTGGGTGGGAACAGGTGTCCCCAAAAATGTCACATGTGATGAATACTGGCTCCTCTGTCTGGAGGGTGAGACAAGTCTGGTCCTGGTATTTTTTTTCTGACTAGTAGTAAAAACTGAGCGTTTTTAATGTTTTGATAACCTATTCCAGATTCATTCCACACATTTGTCTTCCTACTACTACCTGTTGCCCATTTCCTCGTTTTACAAATTACAACAACTCATTTCCTCCTTGCATTATTTTGTTTTTAGTTATTTTGCATTCTCTAAGTAATAAAAATTCTGCTGTAAAACTATAGGAAAAACTAGTAGTAGTACTAGTACTAGTAGTAGTACTAGTACTAGTAGTAGTAGTAGTAGTAGTAGTAGTAGTAGTAGTAGTAGTAGTAGTAGTAGTAGTAGTAGTACTAGTACTAGTAGTAGTAGTAGTAGTACTAGTGGTACCAGTAGTACTAGTGGTAGTAGTAGTAGTAGTAGTAGTAGTAGTAGTAGTAGTAGTAGTAGTAGTAGTNTATTCCAATAATCAGCATTCTCAAAACCAATTATTTGGGTCTTGCACATACCTTAAAAACGAGGAAGAAGGATGTCCTATGCACGAAATAACGTGTACTTTGTAGTAGTAGTGTTCTTTTAGTAGTATTTATTAGATTGCTCTAATTAGGATTGTGAGACTAAGACTAATGAACTCGATGAATCCTCCTCTCACACGCTTTCCGTGTTATACTGGATTCATTGAGTTAGAATCGATAGTAGAAATATACATCCAAGCAGTACTGATAGATCATGAATTCTAATCCTTAGTTCTCGGATCTTGTAGGACTTAGTACTGCTTGTACTGAGCGACTTCAGAACAGAACTCCCAATCGATTAGTTCTGTTCTGAATTCTAATTCTTCTTCTGAGAATTAGTATAGAGGAAGTATATCTATATACAGATATATACTGATCTGTATATATGAGTATGTAGTGATGTCATCAATCCGTGTAGTATATATATGTATATATATAGTATACTATCTGGTACTCGTAGTACTAGTAGTATATAGTAGTTTCCGGTATATATATACATAGTTTTTGGTCCCGGGGACTCACGACTGATCCCCGTACTGTTGCCACGTACTCGTTGCATCCTAGTATTCTGCTAATATTCAGACTGTTAAGCAAAGCATTCAGGACAATTTTGAAGCAAAAAACACAGTACTCATTTCTATACAGCTTACACTGGTGCTAACATTCGGAATGTTAGTAAATTAACGTTCCCAATTGCCTCCTCAATTAACGTAATTTCAATTGTTATTTTACACATCCTATGAATTATTGCTGCGTACAAAAGTTTTGTATATAGTACAATGCCATATGAAATACAAAAGGAACACGAATGAAGTTTCTTCATTTCAGAAATGAGCTGTTCTTCAAAATTGTAGGTCCTTTTACTATCATGATTGGGGATGATTTGGTTGTGAATAAATTTGTGACAAAGGGCTCCCTTGATTGTTTGTTGCTTGTTGCAACAATGCTTTTTGTCCAACTGCATTCTACACAGTTCTATGTATTTTATTTTCCAAACATGAGCTGCTCACCAGGAGCTGGCTTTCATGTCCTCCCCTTTGGGGATATGCTCGGTCATAGTACTTGTGTTGGGGAGGTGTCAATGTGCATGTGTCCTAATGAATTGCTCCAGGCCAGCTGTGATTCTCATCTTACAGCAGTACATGCCAAAAATAGCTACTGTTTTAGACCAGCCATGTGTAATAAAATAGGCCACCAGCAAATGTCCAAAAACGACTCTAGACCACTGGACTAAGCGTCCAGTCCTTATTGATGTATCATTGGAAACAAATTGAATGCTATGCCAGCTTAGAACTAGCTCAACAAAGTTACAGTAGTAGTAGCTGGTGGCCACATTTCAATGTAAGAAACAGGGCCCGACAGAACCTGCATTATACTCATACTACTGCTGTAGGAGGACGAGGAATGAAACTTAGTGAGGGCGAGACAGGTCCAGAGTTGGTAAAAATTACAGCTTCTGGAGGGAACAACAGACTTCACTTGCCTTTGCAACTTTAATCTGTCTCAAAATTAAATTTCATACTTGTAATTTGTACATTGCTCCAAAATTGAATTTCCTAATAATAATTTGTACGTTGGAAGTTGGCAGAAGTCACTGATATGGAAGCATTTTTTTAAAAAACTCCTGGCCAATTGATCTGCTGCTGAGACTTCTTGTTCCACCAGATCACTCCTTTGTTTGTATAATAATGAAGTTTCTATTCCAGTATATGTGTGGGTGGGAACAAGTGTCCCCAAAAATGTCACATGTGATGAATACTAGCTCCTCTGTCTGGAGGGTGAGACAAGTCTGGTCCTGGTGTTTTTTTCTGACTAGTAGTAAAAACTGAGCATTTTTAATGTATTGATAACCTATTCCAGATTCATTCCACACATTTGTCTTCCTACTACCTGTTGCCCATTTCCTCGTTTTACAAATTACAACAACTCATTTCCTCCTTGCGTTATTTTGCATTCTCTAAGTAATAAAAATTCTGCTGTAAAACTATAGGAAAAACTACTACTACTAGTTGTAGTAGTAGTAGTAGTAGTAGTAGTAGTAGTAGT